CCCCCTTAACCAACGAAGCCCTGGGAGTAGTTTTAGCCACGAAGACGCAGCAATTGGCCACCTTCTCCAAAAGACTCCTCAATCTATCGGCTCACTCGGCATTCTTCCTCCTGCGGGCGTCCATCTCGATTCCACGACTCATATACTTTCTCCGCTGCGCTCCATCGTGGAGAGAGTTGGACGCCCTCGCCCACTATGACGCTACCCTAAAGGACGCCCTAGAAGGGATCCTCAACTGCTCTCTCTCGGAGGCTGCATGGGTGCAGTCCTCCCTACCCGTGAAGGAAGGCGGCCTGGGGGTCAGGCACGCTGTGGATGTGGCGATACCGTGCTTTCTAGCGTCGGTCCACAGCGTCCTGCCCCATGTAGAACGTCTCCTTCCGGAACACCTCCATGGCTCCGACATCGCCATGGCAGAGGGGGTGCAGCGGTGGACCGACCTCGGCCTCACTGACCTCCCACCGGAAACCGTCAGAGGGATTCAGTCGGCGTGGGAACGCCCCATACTGGACACCACCTTGTCCAAAGTCTCGGATTTGGCAGTTATCCCGGAGGATACTGCCCGCCTTCGTTCCCTCCGCGACAAATATGCGGGAGTGTGGCTCAACGCCCTCCCCTCTCCACAACTAGGCACCCTCCTCCCCAACGAGACCTTCCGTGTCGCCATCGCCCTCCGCCTCGGCTGCGACATATGCGAGCCGCACAAGTGCCCGTGTGGGGCTCAGGTCACCTCCCGAGGCTATCACGGCCTCTCCTGCCGCCGGAGTGCAGGTCGTTGGTCCCGCCACGAGGCCGCCAACGACGTCATCGCCAGAGCACTTCGGTCGGCAGAAGTACCCTGCATTCGGGAGCCCGCGGGGTGCTCCACTACGGATGGCAAGCGTCCTGACGGGATGACGCTTGTCCCTTGGTCGCGGGGGAGGTCTCTTGTGTGGGACTTCACCTGCTCGGATACTTTCGCCCCCAGCTATCTCCCCGACACTGTGCGCCACCAGGGCGCTGCAGCCAGCAAGGCAGAAGACCGGAAGAGGAAGAGGTACGCTTTCCTCATGGACCGATACATTTTCGTCCCCGTTGCCATGGAGACCACTGGGGTTTGGGGCCAAGAAGGGCTGGCCTTCATACTTCAAATTGGCCAAAGGATCGCCGCCACAACTGGACAGGCCAACGCCATAAACTTTCTCCGCCAACGCGTCTCACTCGCCGCTCAACGAGGAAACGTCGCCTCGATTCTGGGTACACTTCCTCCAGGAAAGGAACTGGAGGAGGTGTATTATTTGTAGTCCGTTTCGCTCTTCTCCCAATTTTACGGACATTTTCTACTTTTTTTTCTGCGTATTTTCTACGATTTTTTTTTAAGTTTAGGGACCTTATTTGTGCGACTCTCGCGTAGTCAGATTTTCGATACTTTTTGTGATACTTATTTTTGATTAACTCTGCGAATACACCTTACACTATGATAAATAAAATTAAACTACAAAATAAAAAAAATAAAAAAAAAAAAAAATAACCAGTAAATCAATTTCTCGTATTCTCAGATATGACAAGATTATGTTTCAATGCTGGAAAACTCTTCCTCATAATCGTCCCACATTCTCGGAAATATGTGACATGTTACATGCAAGATTTTTTTAAACTATGGATGCCCGGTCTACAAAGATTTATTAAGTGTACTAACATTAGATTGCTGTCATGAATCATGTCATGTTTTTATTTGTTTAAACCATTGTTCGATGTTTAACAACAAAACGTGAGATAGATATGTAAAATGTCCTCGCAGTCTTGAGTGAATGTATGTTTATCAGCAATAAAGGAAAAAATTTAGAGAATGCCAAATATTGCAGCAATTGCGACAGCGGATAATAGAGTTCGAATTAAAGCAATAATGTAGGATAGGTTAACTTTTATGATAAGAACAATAAATATGGTATACATGATTGGTTTATTTATTAATAATACCTACATATCATCCCAAAACTCGCTATTCACCCATTGACTTAGATTTAAGTATCCAACAATTGGAATGACACGGTTTCATTTATACAGAATTCCTGAACTACCAGCGGTGTCCAAGGTTCTACGAAATTGTTTCCAAATTCGATTCTTAACGACGCCATGGCCCTCAGCTTCCTTCTACTTTCCTTCTTCTTACATACCCTCCTTTGCTGTATAAGCCAACTCATGCTTCTTCCATTAATTTGGGCACCAATTGAAAAAAAGAGCATTGTTGTGATTGCTACACAGAAATAGAAACTATCGTAACGGCCGTATTGATTGAGTGCGCAAACTCCAAAATACAATAGCCTGCCAACCCTTGAACGATTGGACCAACCAAAGCCAAGGATAAAAATATGCGATCTCTGATGCACGAGTTTACAATTTTCTCCAAGACTTTTGCATTCTTATAAAGTGACAATTTTTGTCAGCGTTGTCACGGTTTCCAGATTCTGCAAGTTGTTTGCAGCTCATCAAAAATTCAAGTATATTGCCGTATAATATTATCGTCCGAAAATTTCACTCAAAAAAAGTATATTGCGTTTTTGCAAGAGATATTCAACTCGTAAGTGATTTTTCGGTGTGCAAACTTCTATATCATACGGTCTACAGAAACTTTAACTCTACTTTAAGCCTAGTTCTATATATTCACATGCATTCCAATTGATTTAAAAAAATTTTAAATCAAACTTTTGGTAATGCATATTTATTTGGAGGTGTCGAAGGGGACGTTCATAAATTATGACACATAAGAGGGGGGAGGGGGATGCATTGATGCAATGATATCGTGCCTATGTGGCACATATGTAGAAATGGAGTAGAGGGGGTCTGGAATTTTTGCGTGACATAATTTATGAAGGTTCCTTAGGTGTATACTCCCTAGTAAAATTGAGACACAATTTTTTCCATGCAGAATGACTTTGTATCTTTTTCATCGTCTATTGTCATCGGTAAAAGAAGGTTTTTGTTTGCCAGGGGACTTTATTTCGAGCGTAGCTATGCACATTGGTGAAAGCAACCATGTCTCCCAAAACATTCACACCAGTAGTTGGAATGTTGGAAATAAATTCCAAGATGTCACACCTGAAGATATTATTTCTGGGCCAGAAGTTTTCTAGGATTTTGAATTTGTTCTCCATCAATCCGTCATCTATTTCGTCATATACCTCCGTGACCAAAGTGATTATCCAGTTGACCCTTCGCACGCACGCATTCGCATTCATCCTTGATGATGAGAAAGTTCTTCGTGTTGTCAAATCAAAATTGGCCGTGGTCCAACAAATTTGTGACTTTGGATCAGTTGTGTTGCCTTCGATCCTTATTTTGGATTGGTTTCGAACAGATGAGTTCGCTATGGCAGAAATTTGGAAGAGGATCCTAATGGCGTTCTTTCTCGTCATACTTATATCAATTTGTTTCGGTTTTTTCCACCTGGTCCGTGTACCGACGGAGGTCGTGTGTGTTATGAATTCTTCGAGCCATATGGAAGCCAAGTCCCAAGTAACAGGTTTATCATCATGCAGAATTTGTCCGCTATTTACGATGGCACTAATTTTGTAACTTGGTTAGCTTAGAGTGGGGAATCGAGTTATGGTCAGGGTTTTTATATTTTATGCTTTTCTTATCCTGTCGACCTCCGTTTTTGTTCACTTGGTGCGAACAAACTTATTTATAATGAAAGTCATGACTTCCTTTTTCCTATGTGTCGATTGTCCATCGACCTACATCAATATTTCCTTTATTCACAACAATGAGTCGTTCTTATTTGAGAAGTTTTAGAAATTTTTAACATCTAGCTTTAGAATTTTTTTGTATGAATATTTCAAACTAGAAATAGATTCTATCGTAACCCTTACCTCTAGTAGAAGCTAGGCAGGCATTTTTAAAAGCAGCTGCCTAATTCGTTACATACTAAATTTATACTTGTAACCATAAATATTTTATTCTGTCTCTTTGGTAGGATAGGTCCCCTACTATTTTATTGGGATCCGGCTCCTTGCCTTAAACTATTCAAGCCGGACCGGTAGCTTTCGTTGCCGCCAGCTTTGTCAAACCTTATGTATATGCCACCGGCATTCGTAACTATGGCAATTTTTCCTTGCCAAGGCTGGGACGACGCTCCAGGAGACTTGATGCTAATAAGAGGGCTTCAAGCCATACTTGCTACCTATAAAGGTTCTGGTATGATCAACATACGGATATTTGGAGTAATTGCACTCCTGCTTTATCCAATCGAAGTTCAACTCCTACTGTTAAAAGAGCTCAAAAGGTGTGCATGCTGCTCAATGTGTAACATCTATTTTTAAAAAGCTTAACTTCTAATTGTATATATATCTTTCAGGGAACTTCACTCAGGGAAACACTCTCCAAGCCGGTAACTCCCTCAGTCCAGGAGTCTTGAACTTCTACCTCGCCTGCACAAAAATGCCTGGAAAGATCCCGCCGTGCATTTAGTTGTTGGCGGGGTAATCCTGGGTGAAAGAACATTGCTCTATATCCTACTTTCCGCCAACGATTCGATCCCTTTGCCCATCCTAGTATTATTTATCTTCCTGGCAGTCGAGTTGCTTAGGTAACCTAACCTTATCACAATCCAGATTTTTTTCAATATTTGTTCATATCCGTATCGACGATCTGAAGATGTAAGGTCGGTTGCAAGGCGAGGATTGAAAAAGGTGTCGAGATGGGAAATAAGATTTATTGCGTCGTGTTCCCCCTTACAAGTTGGGATAGGAAATGATACATTTTTTGATAGGATGACATCCCTTGTAATTTGGAAAACTTGTACGGATATTCTTATCACGTTACTGTTAGTGTAAGCTAAAGTCAGAGTGAGGCCCATATATTTCTTAAATCTTGACGTCAAGCATGTAGATTTTGTATGATTTAAATATTCACATTTTCATTATTATTCTAAACCAATACACTTGAAGTTGTATGAGGACAAGTAAATTTGGGTAGTTGAAAGAAAAAAAATGTTAGCATTTGGGCAACGAAATAAAATATCAGAGTTTACATAATTGCAAAAATGTATTTGATATATTTCATGTACATAAACAAATGTTTACAACATAACTAACATCCTTCTTTCACACTGCCAACGATTAAATTATTAGTATATTTGTACGTAATGCCCCAGTCTCTTCCTTGCACTTGCGGGCTGAAGCAGGTGGTTTCTCCTTTGTAATTCGGCTCGGAAAACAACCGCCAGGAGTGATTTCCGCTGAAAAAAAGGGAGCCAACTCTGACATGAGGAATTATCGATGGCATCGAAGCATTAACTTTATAAGGTGTTCCGTTAAAATTTGGATCGCTGAATAGTTGAATTTCCTTCTTGATCTGGAGCGGATCCCCAAGTCGAGTTGCCGTCCAACGGTAGTCTAATTCTGACCAAAGATGTTGGCACTCATTTCCAGTACCAGCCAAGTAGAAGATAGCACGATCGAAGAGTGCATTGTATTGCGTTATCCTCCAGCTAAACATAAGTAATTTGTCGAATTTAAATTATTCAGATATTAAGGTAAAGAAACCATTCGACAGAAGTGAAACGTATTGCAAAGTTTACTTTAAAAAATTACACAACTTACAAACCCATCACTCTAAAATAAACTTCTTGCCCGTTCCTTGGAGGGATTAAATTTTGTTCCTGATCAGATGTGGAGTTGATACTTGACGAATGGTTTCCTGGGGTGCAAAGCGGGTCCCCCATGTGCTGAATTAGATACTGAGAAATACCAGAGAAATGCCTGACTGGTCTTCAATACCACGATTTCGGCGAAGAGAGTAAAAAAGAAAAATATTTTTGTTTGCATTTTGATGATTTGGTTTGTAGTGTGTAGTACAGTTTTTGGTAATTGCTGTTAGAATAATGTCGAATTGATAAAAGTGAGACACTTTTATACAGCAAACCAAATGTTTCTCATCACGTCCTCTTATTTTGATAAAAAAGGTGTAAAAATCATAAAATGTTTATCTCCATTTTATTCTAATGCAGATAGTGTGACAAATGAGCAAAAATAAAAATAAATATTTATCCAGCATCTAATTTATGTGTATATATTTATGTGTGTTGATGTCCCGAGAGTTTCCACTCACACGGATTATACAGGTAGTAAGTCTATGAATGCAAAAATTAAACGCCGGTTATGTCTGCCTAGCTGCACGTTCTCAAATTTGTTAGAAATCTTGAAAAAACACATTAGAAATAACCAGATGTTCATTTGCATATTTTATTCGAATGGAAATTACTCTGCATGTGGACATTAAAGCAAAAATATTTATTAAATACCGACTGTTGACTGCGGGTTTATCACGTTCATCAATTTCTACCATTATTCTGAACCAATGCTATTTTTCTTATTTTGACAAAAATATAAAAGGTATTTATTTTGCTATCTCCAAAATACGAGAGGGTGTGTTGCAACGTCCTCAATTTTGTATAAATCCGGCTTCGCGCAATCACATACAAATCATTTTCTCAAGGCTTACCACATCCTCTGAAATTTAGCTGCCAGAAAATAATTTATAATGCATCCAATAAATGTCTTCATTGTCGGCTGCTACGCGACAATCACGATATTCCAGATTAGTCAGGCATCTGAAGGAGTACCTCAGTATCTTCTACAATACGTCGCTGACCAGGATTGCACTTCCGGGAATCATACAATAGGTCTCAATCCAACATCTGACAAGGAGCAGGACTTGATTCCCCCAAGAAATGGTGAGGACGTGTACTTCAAAGTGATGGGTTTGTAAGTTTCTTAAAACAAAAACATTTTAGTGAGAACGCATCCTCTCGGCTTAATAAGTATTTTCTATAAATTATAAGTTGGTTTTAATTGCTCTGAATTTTATAAGCTGGAGGGTAACTCAATACGATGGGTACGACCATAGTGCCAACTCATACTTTTACGGAGTCGGGGATGAGTGCCAATTCATGCTTTAGAACTACAATTCCCGATGGACGGCAACTCGACTTGGGGATCCGCTTCAGATCGATAAAGAAATTTTACTCTATCGTGATACATATTTTTATGGCGTGCCCTTTAAGGCGAAACGTTCAACGCCATCAATAATTCCACCAGTGAAAATTGGGTCGCTTCTTTTCAGCGGACAGTATTCTTGGGGCCTGTTCTCTGGCCCGAACTACTCGGGACAAACGATGTGTCTCCAACCCGAGATAGAAGGAAGAAAATGGGGAATGACGTATAAATTTGGTTTAGATTTTAGCGTAGCTAGCATAAGGTTAAATTGTTAATTTGTTTAATTTATATTTTAAAAAATCAGTATTCATACGTTTTATTAGTCTTGGAAGCAATAAATGCTTTAAAATATTATTTATTAATATAAAATGTTCAATTTTTATGCTTTACTAACACGTGACCTTTTTACATAGATGTGAACGATCACATACGTAGAAATATTTCTTTAAAGGCACTTTTTTCAGATTGGCTTAAGCCATTGGTTTAGCCAACTGCAACAAACATGTTCCATGTGCACCTGCGTATCTTTGTATTTGATTAAGAAACTCGAATACAAGACTTTATGTACAAAACCGAAGTCGAACTTAAGATGTATGCTTCCTTTGAACAACTGCTCATCTTCGTCGTCGATATTAACAAATGAAATAAAGTTGGGCAAGGTTTGCTTAGAATTTGAAAGAGTTCGCCAGTCCGGAATAGTAATTTTTTTTTAGATATTGGTGTGATACATAATTATGGGATGCAATGGATACCGACAAAATGATACAAATTATGAGTTGTCAAAATAATTTATACAAGATTAAACTGTTTCCAGCACACTATCTACGAGGGAAAATCAAAAAGTAATGTTCATCTACCCTTCGGCGTGAAGGTAGAAATTTGAAACCTCACTTATGTATTTAATCCTTGTGTGCATCGTGTGTACATTGTGTACGAAAATTCATAAGAATCTGACTAATAGTTTTTTCACAATAAAATCCCAAAGTCAAAAAGTGCATGCAAAAATTGAATTTTCGGAAATTTTTGTATGATCAACCATTCTATTTTTTGTGCTGTATTACGAATCTGCTGCCGAATTTTTTGAAAATTTGCAAGAAGTATATAGGTATTGTACTCTTTCACGCAGCACAGGTTAAAGATGGATTTGTGATTTAACGAGTAAAATATGGAGTGTTGAAGATGAAACTCGAGAGAATCGCCTATTTTGCATTTTTGATGACTTCATGCGCTCGCCAGTCATTATATAATCAAACTAGAACTTCGAACTGGCATATATTACAGGGATCAGGAGTTGTAAAGTGGATGACAGGTCATATTGACAAGCTCCTTGAGGAAATTTGCTTATTTTGGTTATTATCACGCTGGGTAGATGGACCGCTTATAATCAGAGAAAAGTTGTGGAATTTCAAAGTGATTTCAGCACTACTACATGTATGCATCGCTGACCCTAAAAAGGGTATGATGAGACAATGGTATTACTCTTCGAAGAGCAATACCATTGTCTCATCATACCCTTTTTTCCGCATACCATTTTTTAATCATACCCTTTTTTCCGCATACCATTGTCTCATCATACCATTTTATCCATATACCTTTTTATCGAGACCATGACATCTGCTACCCTTTTTTCCATACCATTTTTTCCGGGAATCCAAGACTTTAGAGAGTTAGTTGTTAGTAAAGAACTTATCAAGTTGATAAGTTTGCCTTTATTGTGACAACTTTGGCAATTGACTGAGCATGTATGGAATTATTGATTTATGAAGTTTTAAAATTATGCGTTAATAAAGCTTGAAGAAAACATCACCAAATGCACACAAATTAAAATTGATTACCCACTTGCATCAATTTCCAGCTTTATAAGTACACATTTATTTACAACAATTGTTTACTAGGTTTCAGTACAAAATATTAACTACTTGAAACTTGTATTTAATTGTGAGATTTCCATGAGCAGATAAATGCATGAAATTTGTCGTTTCATTTTAATTGTTAAAAAAACATTCCCATAGAAAGTAAACATTTTGTACGGAACCTTTCAAATATAGGGAAAGAAAGCGATGAATTAATTTTCATAGTAACATTTAACAAGCGACCTTTGCCCCTGTCAGGTCATGAGAGATGAATCTCCTGCCATGCCGAACTTTTGTCTCAACTTTTCCATGCATGCATTTCTCCAACGACGACTACTGATTTTATTTGTAGCATGGAGAAACACACACGCAAGATAATATTTCATTTCTTAAACGAAAACCAATTCATGGTCATGTTCCTTCTGTTTTGTCCGTGACAAACATCTCACGTTGTCAGGCACGGCTGACTGGCGATGCCACTACCACAATTTGATTAGAGACAATTCCTCCATAGATAATAACATACAGGCTGGCCGAACATCTCGGTCAAATACGGTTTATAACATGTGAAAATCCGACCCTAGATTTGTGGGCCATTCGTGCACATCATCATCACTATCACTAATCGGACGAAAATTATATATCGATGGAATTAATTTTACTTTTCCATTTTAGTAAGAAAATAATTTCCGTGCAGAAATTTTTAATTTTTGTGCTTATCTGAAGCCGTTATCAAGGCATCAAGATAACCACTAAATATGTCAGATTTCATTCATACTCATTTTGCTTTCTCATTTTAGTAAGAAAATAATTTCCGTGCACAAATTTTTAATTTTTGTGCTTATCTGAAGCCGTTATCAAGGGATCATATTTAGTGTTTATCTTGATCCCTTGATAGCGGGTTCAGATAAGCACAAAAATTAAAAAGTTCTGCACGCAAATTATTGTCTTACTAAAATGGAAAAGTAAAATTAATTTCATCGATACCTAATTTTCGTCCGATTAGTGATAGTGATGATGATGTGCACGAATAGCCCACAAATCTAGGGTCGGATTTTCACATGTTATAAACCGTATTTGACCGAGATGTTCGGCCAGCCTGATAACATGTGAAGAAATTTCGGCTGGATGAGAACTTATCCGTTTCTTATTTACACTAAAAAATCCATCAATTCGAGACGTTAAGAGGCATTCATTCTCACTTTACGTCAGCTCAGTACGTACATAATTGTATTAAGAGTTATGTACAAGCTTCGACTTTTGACTGATGAATGGGGAACGTTATCATATTTATGTACATACATTCTTCAAAAGTTGTGATGAATGCGCGACTGTGCTTCTTCTCTTCCTTGACTTTCTTGTCTGGTGTGAATTTTATCTTTTCTCTCAAACAGTAAAAAAGTAGGGCTCTTAACTTATTTCATCGCACAAATTACTTATGAAATGAATTTCTTTTCGTGGCGTCTTGGCGTCAGTTGGGCGTCCCGAGTTGCATGGAATCAATGATGTGAATGATAATAGATAATTCATTTGGAGATGATGGTGATGATGGTGAATATGTACATCCCTAGCAGCACATCCCGAGTTATGCACGTGTCCCATGTTAATGGATACGTGACTAACACGTGTATTAAATTCACGTGTATCTAAACTCGTGTTAAACACCGGTTTTACACGAGTTTCACGTCAACTGGTGTTTAATTCGTGTATAACACGTAAAAAACCACGAGAAAAAGCGACATTTACCCCCAAAATTCCCCGAGTTTGACATACATGCTCCTAAGGTCGCTTTGGGGTTATGCTTTATGAAGGTCGTAAAATTAAAGTATGTCACAAATAAATATTTAGGAATACAATTTCCTCGCATGCATTTGTCCAGCTGAAAGTTGCATGCAGTTGGCTCTTATATTATTGTGTACTTAATTTACTCGCCACAATACATGCATTAATACTTACATAATTTCACGATAACCGACACCCTCTCCATGATATTTATTATTACCCACTTTATTTCGTGGTTTGGTTAGGGATTATCAAGTAGTAAATAACAAATCTGAACTCTAGGTCAGCAGAAGAGTAAATAAAAATGCAGAGATTTTGATTAGACATGAAATGATTATTTACTCACTGACTGACAAGGGAACATACCGAGGTGTCCAACGAGTTAAGGGTCGACACCTATACCAAAATGACCACAACACATTACTTGTTAAACAAACTGGAGGAATTTCCGTGTAAAATTCACTTTTCGTCACATTGTGACGATATTTGTGACGAGCGCATGACCATCGGGAGATTGCCAGTGGGAGAGGTCGGCCACTGAACGATCAGGTCGATCACAGAGAATTGTCGCCGTCTTCAGAGATTTCAAATTCTTTCAAATTTTGAAAACATTTTGAAATTTTGAAGACATTTTGAGAAAGTTTTGAAATTTCTAAGAAATTCTAACATTTTGAGAAATTTTTGAAATTTAGAAAAAGTTTTGAAATTTTGAAAAAATAGGTGTGGAAGTTATTTGAAATCTCTGAAGACAACATGTCCTCTACACATTTTTTTCAAAATTTTAATATTTCTTCAAGATTTCAAAATTTCTTCAAAATTTCAAAATTTCTTCAAAATTTCAAAATTTCTTCAAAATTTCAAAATTTCGTCAAAATTTCAAAATTTCTTCAAAATTTCAAAATGTTTTCAAAATTTGAAAGAATTTGAAATCTCTGAAGACGGCGACGCTTCTCTGTCGACCTGATCGTTCAGTGGCCGACCTCTCCCACTGGCAACCGGATGGTCATGCGCTCGTCACAAATATCGTCACAACGTGACGAAAAGTGAATTTTACACGGAAATTCCTCCAGTTTGTTTAACAAGTCATGTGTTGTGGTCATTTTGGTATAGGTGTCGACCCTCAACTCGTTGGACACCTCGGTATGGTCCCTTGTGAGACGATTATTAATCGTAGTAGACAAAACTTACCATTTGAGAAGTCAGAATTTGAAAATGTGTCGATTTTTAATATTTTCTATGCAGACAGACACAACACTAAAGTTACACAGTAGCAGCTAATCAGCCAATCATTAATATTTAGTCGTGAACTTATCTCGCCAATGGAGTATAATATCTAAAAATTATTCTTCAAATCCAATCCACCTTCTTGTTAGGATGATAGTGTCATTTGTAACAATGACACTTCTACTTCGTCACATTCATTGTTGTGTGTCGCATGAAATATCAGAGCTGGGAAAATTATACAAGTTTTAAAAATACAAAACGAAAAATAATGTCCTTCCTTAATTAAGCAGCACAAAAGGTTGGTTTTAAACGTACAAATGTCGTGAAAACAAAAAAATAACTGTGGCATAATTTATTGCAATAAGCTACCAACACAAAAACTTTAATTAATTTCAAGTCTTGTGATAATAATAAACGGGGCCCTAATACAAGGTTATCGATCTATTATGGGATATTTACTATATAAAATTGAGTTTGGACACTTTGTGTCATTTAATTAAACATAAGAAAAATTTATTATATATAGTAAAAGGCAAAAAAACAGGAAACTTAACCACGATACCAACAAATTAACCATACAGTACAGCAGGATTTAGTATAGATGAGGTACCGTCGTAAACAAAAATAGCCATCAATCGTCAACTGTAAAGGAGTAAAGTAAAACATTAGATGAGACTTAGAAAAAACTTTGAGTCAGTTATTTGACTTGGATCAATTACTTTGAATTTCAATACAGTCCTCCTCGAAGAAATGGGTCTCCAAGTACTTCATCGTCCTAAATTTAAAAAAAAAACATATTTATTAGTATTAGTCCATGGATCATATCATTCATTACTATGTAAATGTCCCGCTAACTTACCCAAAAGTTCTGAACCGTTTCACTTTAAAAACGGGAAGCAGATCCGCATTGCAAATAGCAAACTGTTTGTTTTTTGGATCATACAACTGCTTCTCCTTAATGATGCTCCACATCTTCTTGACCACTTCGTGACGAGCCATGTTCTCTTCCCCCATGACCTTAGCCAACTGGGGACTCAATCTACACTTCTTAATGAATCTTCTCTTCCCTTTTGCAGTAGGCTTCTTCTTCTTCTTGGGTTCTTCCTCAGAATCATCATCATCGTCAGATGCCTTCTTCCCCCTCTTTTGCTTTGGCGTGTCTTCCTCCTCAGATTCAGATTCAGCTTTTGTTTTACGCCGTCTCCTGCGCCGTTTTGCTTGTCCAAAATTTCCAAGACCAAGTTCTCAATTTGTTTTCTCTTTTCAGATAAATCTTCATCAAGTTTGGTTTCCAACTCTTGTCGTACCATCCTTGTAGTGATGGTGTTGAGATCAGCAGTTTCCTCAATTGTGCAATGGTAGCCATGTTTTTTACTGTTGTAGTAGAATATGAAACAGTTAGACAGAACCGGAATTTGTGGGATGAAGATTGTTTAAGGTGCAATTATTTTAAAGGAAATTATTTGTAAATGCTTGGCTTTTACTCAGTAAGGATAACAAAAAATTACTATATTTAACCCCCACGTTGGTCCGACTATCCAAAGTTGTAACGACTACAATCAAAACAGCAAAAATATGAAAAATATTTATGTTTTTTGTTTTTGTAAAGTTTTTTAGAGTTGCAAAAAGCAAACGTGCTGGGATTTTAACCGCGCGCTAGAAGGTGGAGGCGATCCTGCTTGTGCCACGTAAACTCGATTTTTTATCTCACAATCCCATTAGACATCGTAAACCCAACTTTCATGTAATTTGAATAAGTAGCTGAAATTAATTTATTATAAATTTTAACAATTACAAATACAAACACAAACTGCAAAGCAAGGAAGGGCTTGGATTCCCGCACTTGTCGAGAAACTTTTCCCAGTGGGGAGAGGTACGAGAGAGTGTGTGAGATGCAGCAAAACTGGACATACGTGGTGGACACAGGGCATAAAATACCTGGTCTCCTGGAGGACAAAATGCGATTAAACCTTATCTAGCGCTGGGTATAAGCACGATCCACAGGGTGCTTGCCCCAGACTAAGACCCACCATTGCACTTCGGAGCGGTGAACGCGACTATCATTCGGAGGTAATTTGGGTGCGACAATGTCTTCCATTGGGGCATGCCCTCCTCTTCTCATGCCCCTACTGGAAACAATCAAAAGACATTAAACTTTACTTGTAAATAATTCGAATACTATCTGCAATTCATGACGTGATATTTATGGGTTTTAATTTTTAAATGTTTTGTAAATCTATCTTGTATATTTTAAACACATCGGTCAACGACACTGCAGTTATTTGCCCACCTCTGTAAAATATGAATGACTCAAATTGTGTCGTGTTGCATTAAAAAAAAGAAAATCCCGTTAAGGACTTTACTACACAGTATTTATTTCCTTACTTCATTGTTATGATAACAATTATTTTGAAAAATTCAACATATTGAAAATATGTTGAATACAACGATGAATGATACAAGGATATGAAATTCAACATATTGGAGTCAGAATTCGAGGCAGTGGTCAAATTTTCGTCCAAAATAAACTTATAAATTTTTTCCAGACATATGAAACGAAATTTGGACGGGTTTGAGACAAAACTCAAAATTTCCTTGACACCAAAATTTCTTCAAAAAAAGAATATTTCTTCGGTATTTTGTGGAAAACTCGATGGTGAAAAGTGGATTTTTTTCACTATTTTTCTCCTAAAATTTTGGAGTTTTCCCTATACCGACCAATGTTCTTCGTGTTTTTCGTCAAAAACTCGAATATTGGAAACTGGTGGAAAATTTTAATTGGTTGCTATCAGGTATAATTATGAAATCAATATCGTACCGAAGGGAAATTTTATTTAAATATTAGTAGCCCGTAAGAGGTTAATTATCCTATGCCATGGTGGATCTCTCTTATTTCATTAGCTTGTTTCAGAAAATGACTAATACTTTTTAAACTATTTACATTCAAATCGGATAGAAAAATTACAAAATCATTTTTACTTGACGGAAGACATTTGGCAAGCTTATTGCTTAGAATTTTACGGATTAGATCATAATTTGGGCATACACAAATAAAGTGATACAAATCCTCAACTGCAGAAGTACATAAACTACAAATTATGTCAGCATCATTTTTATAAATAACATTAATTCCGTTTAAAGTTACAGTTTTGATCGTAAATCTCGGGTACATGGCTCTTAATTGAATCCATAATTTAACTAAATTCCAATTAATATTATTATTTAAAAAATTTTCTACTTTGACATGTAGTTTAATATATTTAAAATGTCCTAAAGAGTTTGAACATTTCATTTTAGTTATATCATCCTCCACTATTTTATTGCGAATCTTATCAACTATTTTATTTTTATTGTGCTTTAAATTATTAATGGTTTCTAAATTTACATTATGAAGATCAAAGCTAAAAAGTGAATCACATTCATATTTCTTCAGAAAATTTATCAGATCACGGTACCAGTTATTTTTCATTTTCTTTTTAGTATATGTACTTGTTTTTATCAAATTATTAAGAACTTGTCTAATCCTAAGTGCACTGCCTTCCGGGCGTTGCAGTGTTTTCAGTACGAAGCTCATTGCATTCTTAATTATGCTTAATTGTCTTGGGTAGCACCCTGTTTCAAGTCTCAAAAACCAGAGAGGTAGATAATTAGGCAGATAGAATAACTTTCTAAGAAATTTTGCTTGGAACATAATCAATATTTACCCCACATTGTGATAAATCTTCCCCACAATGTGTTACATCCTCACTGTCTAGTGTTAAGTCTACACATTGTGGGGAAGATTTATCACAATGTGGGGAAGATTTATCTCAATGTGGGGTAAATATTATCACAATTTGGTTAAGTCATATATGCACTCCGTTTGGTGATGATTCAATTAAATTCAATACCATTTTGCTAAGAGTGTGGTCCTACCTTAAAAACCAGACATACGAAGAACCAGTCCCACACGACCGTGGTTCTCTGACTCGCCGATTTCAGAAGACTTGGAAAAATATTTCCAAAACTGTTTTGAAACATCTCCCAGAAATTTTCCGGAAAAAAACTCAGAACATGCAAGCATCGTCTGGAGGAGGAAGAAAATACTAATGTATTGTATACTGAAAAGATTTTGTCAACAATTTTTTTTTCTTGTGAGAATTGCAATAGTTTGAAAGTGTACTTATGGGGGGTCAGATAATTTTTTCACACCATGTATGCAGATATGTATGTATCTCCTGCCCTTTGTAGTGACAAAACAAAAATTATTGTTATTCATATACCTGTTGGCAATGAAGAGATGTATGTGTGGGTATATAGAAAAACCTGGCTCAATAAGTTTGTGCTGGTTTACCGAAAAACTTAAATTGTTGCATTATATAAACTATCCAATTAATGATTGCTTAATGAATAATTACTTAGTAAAAATGATTATGCGTTAAAAACATGTTGGGGGTGATTATGATAAAGAAAATCCGACCAGTTGATAACAATTCCGATAATTCTAAGCCAAGTTGAACCTTATCTGGAATTTGATCATCGGCACGTTTTATACATATGTATGTATCTCTCTTTTGTGCTTCATATTACTTCGACCATGTATTACCTTACCGATCCTGACTAATGGAACAGTTGGAACTTTGTGAAATTGTTAATGCTATGTCTAAATTCTGAAACATTTCTAGGACGTCACAAGATTGTCATAACGATGTCAAGAAATTAAAAGTTATGGTGATATCAGTCGGTTTATGTAGAATTATGCTACGGAAGGTTACAAGCGTAACAAAGTAGCTCATATTATTTTCAAGGTCAACCTAAATAATTTGCTGGATCATACATATGCACGGATGGAAATGTGTGTAATGAAATTTATAATCTCATAATTAATAATAATTATAATAGGTAATATGGTAAAGAAGTCATTATAACTAATAATATTTAAATCACATAATGATAGCTACATATAGGTATTTTATTCGCTCCTTTATGCAGGCCACGTCAGGCAAAACTTTCTTGTCTTGCATGTCTTGCAGATTGGTGACAAGTGTTTTTAAATCAATTGGATCCAATTATAATTTTAAACAAATTTGAGGCATGCAAAATTATGAATCGACTTGAAGAATATCGTTTAACTGAGAATCGGTTAACTGATTAAAACGCCGAGGATGCGTTTTCCACGGTTTAAGTCAGAGGTACAAAATAGGCGTATTGCATCTAAAGGGAAAGATAAGGCCGGAGTTCGGGAAGGGCTCTGATATTGGTGTATCAAGACGTAGAAATTTGGCAGGATAAAGTTAAATTACATAATTCCTCTACTATAGAAAAGTACACCCTGATTCGGGCGCCATTAATCTGTACTTCATTAATTTGTATTTTGTGCCCTAACTTTTATCTTTTAACTTCTCAGCGAAAAGGCTTGGTGCAGCTTGCTAGGTTCTACGTGCATGGAGTCGGTAAAACTTGAGCACCTGGGGGATCACGTAAAATCCAAGCACACCTGCCGAGAATGCGAGTCTTCGAAACCGACAACTTTTCAAATCTTGCAAAGCCTTCCATCACCCATGGAGATGACTTGTTTGCTCCGTGGATACAAAGTTATAATTTGGGAGCCAATTTTCATCGTCTTTAAATCTCGCCAGTCCATTCTTGCCGTAACGATGAAGCTGTTCAAACCAAAGGATGGTGTGGACCGTAATAGGGTAAAAATTGGATGGAAAATTTTGCAGGTTTGTGGAACCGAGGAGCGCCATTCAGGTCTAAGCTTTTCGGTAGTTCGGTCCCCATCCGAAGAAAATCCGGGGACTTTTCATACCCCAGAAATAAAATGGAAAGGGCACAGTGTCGTGCAGGGTTGGAAATTAACCGATGATGAGCCAAACATCAGCAGCGACAACTGGATGGAAACACCGCTCTCGTCTTTAATTCCGGTTGCAAATCGAAATAAAACAGCGATCAACGAGAAATCCGTGATTCTACTTTTGAAGGTAAAGTTCCAAAGGGTAGATGACGTTTATTCAAATATGGAACGCGAACTCCCACTGATTGCCAGCGATTATCGGGACATATTGTTAAAAGGTGAGTTATTTCGTAAACCTTACGTAGATTACCTTATGAACGAAATTCTCAAACCCAAGTTCGATTATAGGCACGTTACAGAAAACTATGTCTTTTCAGGCTCTTTTGAGTTTCCAAAATTTTCACAAGTTTCTTGCGACATTTGCAAAGCGGTTCCAATAAAAGGGAGTAGGTTCAAGTGCACAGTTTGCAACAATTTCGATTTGTGTGAGTCTTGCGCCAGGAAGGGGTTGCACTCCGAGCATGACATGATTCGAATGATGTTTCCTATACCCACTAATGGAGAGGAGTATGCAGAGTACCTGCTGGAAACTAGCGAGAGGGTTGAATCAGAGGGCGTCGTATCGCATCCCTTAGTATGCGAAACTTGCAACGTTTTCCCATCCAAAGGGTCAATTTTTCTCTGCCTCGTGTGCAGCTTGCATATCTGTGGAGATTGTGAAGCGAATGGAATTCATAATTGGCATTGGATGCTCAGGGTGACCCAAGTGTTAAATGAGGATCGGAGACAGTATATTCAAAAGGCTAGTGTCGCCATGAGGGAGATGATTAAGGAGAGGTTCGAGCCCCCCAAAATATTGCATATTCTTTGTTCCCTAAATAGGTAAAGGCGTAACTCCAAATTGGCAATGTTCTGTTTGTCGGACCACGTTAAGTAAATGAAAAAAAAACTGGTTCAGTGTTAAGTTTGAGTTTTGAGTTTTTTGAACCCATTAATATTTTAAGTAGTTTGGATTGAGTTTTGAGGATGCACAAATATCTTCATATGTATATTTTGTCGATCAGGCCTCACGTAATTTCTAGTATAATTCTATGCATATATGTAGTTTACTTGGATCTACATTTGTCTACTTGGTGCATGCCTTGCAATTAATTTAGGAACATGTAGTTGACTTTGTTCAGTAAACTAATAAACTATGTATAAGTATGTTTAGAAAATTGAATAACTTAATTTTGAAATTTACTTAGTACTATAATTGGAACACGTGTTGGTTATCATTATAAATTCACTATTTTAAACTGACTTGAATTTCCACCAAGGAAAGGAAAGGAATCACAAACTTTTGAGATTTCATTTATATAAAAATATGTGATCGTGATTATTGCGTGCAGATATTTTTATCATATACAAGATAATCTTGAGTCACAAAAGAATTCGATGTGTTAACCAGATCGTATTGTCATGATTAGAAGTGATGGCTCATTACTTAGGTTCATGTATGCATGCGATCAAATATTACATACTGTGTGTCATTATTCATATGTATGTATTCCGGTTACAATTTGAGACTACGTGCGCCAACAACAAACTTGGTTGCACGGAGCGGTATTTTCTGTCAGATGCGAGAGATCATATTGCCACTTGCAAGTTCAGGTGTTTAGGTTCGTGAGAAATTGTGATGAATGATTTTATGTTATGTGTATTTGTGATTATAAATAAACGAACAAGTTAATATTTGTGGCAATAAAACGATTATTCATTTATTTACACTTTTTGGCATACACATACTTCATGCATGTGATATTTATTATTATGTTTATTATTAATTTTGAGGCAAATTGATACGTGCTTAATTAATATCTCCGTTCCTTCTCAATTGAGGTAACGTGAGATTATTTAAAACACGCGTGTGCATAACAGCGTTTGCATTAGCACGCAGAATTTTTTGGACTCCTTTGGCGGTGGACCGTGACCGTTTATATACCGAAGGTCGGACGCAAAAGCACGCTGCTTACGTGACCTGAGTCGCAGTTATTTCGGTCTTTCCGAGAATTGACCGTCTCGTAACTAATATGCATGCATGTATCTTTCTTTCTCTCTGCTTTTCATGAACAAAGTTGCTGTTTTTACATTGCATGCATTTTGTGGGTGAAACATAGTGAGAGTGTGAGACGGCTGCATAGCGAATCGAGTAACTTTTCTCGTGCTATCCAGTGTATACACACATATGCATTACATATCATTACATATGCATTTCCTGACTACCTGCTCTCATGCAATTTAGTTTTTACGTACGTTTAAACGCAGTCTCAATTTCCTCACACAATTATGCATCCTCTTTATGTACATGTTTCTAAACATCAGATAAGAATTTTGTTTAATGAGGATTTGACATGAATGTTTTATAAATATTTGTGTTCAAATGTTTACCTTCGCGAGAAAAATTGGTGCGGCCTGATCGACTCTACGTGTTCGGAGTCGGTAAAATTTGAGCAGCTGTGGGATCATGTGATCTCCAACCCGAAGCACGCTTTTCAACAGTATGAGTCGTCGATCCCGATAACATTTCAAATACTTGAAAGCCTCCAATCACACCCAGAGATGATTTGCATGCTTCGGGGATATAAAGTTATTATTTGGGAACCGATCTTTATCGCTGATAAGTCTCGCCAATTCATTCTAGCTGTCAGGATGAAACTGTTCAAACCGAGGGATGGCGTTGATCGGAATATTTTAAAAGTTGGATGGAAAATTTGTCAGATTTGTGGGACGGCGGAGCGGAACAATAACGAGGCAAATGAGCTGCTTGTAAGTTTTTCGGTGGCAGAATTCCCATCCGAAGATAATCGATTGACTACTCTTCGCCCAGAAATAAAATGGAAAGGTTCTGCCGTAGTTCAGGGATGGAAATTAACGGATGAGCCAAATTTCAACATTGATAGGTGGATGGAAACATCGCTCTCTTCGTTACTTACTGACCCATATATGGCGGTAGCAATGCGGTTACCGAGAAATCATTCGTTTTACTTTTAAACGTAGCGTTTCATGGAAAACCAGCCCTGGATTTAGAAAGGGGATTGGAAGTTGCACTTAAATATGTACATGTGTTCACTGATTTTGTGGAACTGACAAAGACACTGGGAACATGTGAACTTATCCCCTAGATAGTTTAAGCCAGCTTTGTGTACACTATTACGAAGCAATTTGGTACAAATCAAATTGATACATGATTTGTGAAGTCTTTATGACGTACGGTGTAAATTTGTAAAGCTCTATGATATGCACGGCAGGCCAATCTAGGGAAAACTTATTTTTAATCGCGCGAGATCAAAATGTTTTTGCCAAAATGTGCGTTGTCAAAGCCAGCTTTGACTTCAATTATCTAAAACAATACATTCGGTAAATTTATAATTTTATGGTACTAGTTGAATTTGCCAAGCTTAAATTTTAACCGGATTTCGCTGACATTTTCTATAAGTTGGAATCACTACTTACAGATTCTGAAGTATAATTTCCGGTAAGAACACCCCTGTCGTAAATACCACCCTGGGAGGCGTCGTAGTTACCAGCGGCCTCTCCACACCTATAGATTCAAACATAGGCCCTAATTTTTCTTATGCCTGTATTTCAGCAAGGTATAAAACTTCGTAACTTGAATACCATCTTATATTAGAAAAAAACTATTCTATAAACGCCTGCTCACCTTCCACACTGGCTATATTGGATATCCTAATGAACATTATTGAACCAGACGCCTCTGCAAGATATATTTATTAATTAACCTGACAAACGTAGGGGGCACTGTCATGCTTCATTAATGCAAATACAGAGAAATATCAATGGGACTGATGTGTTACCCCACAAGTGTAGCCTTGCGCAATCCATGGACAAATTATGGGTTGTTTTATGGTGGTAAATCACGCATTATGAGGATCTCATTTTTTTAATTTTACACAGTTAGGGGTGATGTGAGACTGAACTGTACATAAATGCAAAATCTTACTCATTAATTTCAGTCTCATATCACGCCTAACCCCGAAAAATTAAAAAAATCTGAGATCCTCATAATGCGCAATTTAACACCATAAAACCACCCATAATTTGTCCATGGATTGCGCCAGGCTAAACTTGTTGGATAGTAATTTATTTAGAATAGCATCATGTCGGATTAGTTTACTGATACTTACTTGTTGTCATACCAATATGGCGGGTCGTGGGGGTGACTGGTGTCCAAATGTATGGACGTCCTGGCCAAAGGTTGCATCAGGTAGCCATGGGGTTCCACAAAGCCAAGGGCTAAGGCGAAAACGACAGAAATTGCGACAGGCTTAATTTTTGTAGTTTTTCCGTCAATAAAAATAATTTATTCTCTTTGCTTATGATATGGTACGGAATTTTTGATACGAATGATGTTGTATTGATGCCAGGTAGTTTTAAGTGGTTATTATCTGTAAAATTAGATATTTCAGTCATCCATCATGTTGTTTGTTGAAATGATGTGATGCAAGTTTATTTTTCTTAGGTAGGGGCTGTAGTCAGGAAAAAAACACCTATCCTAAAAAAATTCCCGCTAAACACCATTTTCTCAACTTGGATTCATATTCTATTATCAGAACCTCTTGAGCCAACCTGATAACCAGCAAACTCCGCACCAAATTTTAATTCGATTGCATGCTTTTCAAAAATCCCTGTGGGTTATGTTGTCCCTGCTCATGACAATTTTTTAAATTCAAATCACGCTAAATCCTAAGAAGAACTCCTTCTAAATTTCCTTCCGTATTAAATATTTCATTAGAGGTAATTCAGTGGCTACCTTCATACTAAATATCAGTGTTTCAACACTATTTTGAAATTTTTACATATAATACCCCCACCAACCTATCTAACCAGGATTTGGCAACCACTTAACCAATGATACCCATATTCGAAATTAGCATTACATTTTCCATTTTTTAAATGAACACTAAATTTCAAATCGATTCGATAAGTTCCACGAAAGTTAAGGACGGAACAGACGGACAAAGCGTTCCAATAAGCTCTGATACGCGCTAAAAATTCATTAAAATATTTTTCTTGATAGAATTAGAATCAAATTTATATAATTACGAAACCCAAGGAATTATTGCCAGGACGGTGATGTCAGGAATACAAATATTTTCGCTTGTACGAGTATATACGTAGATACCTCAGTTGTGGTTGGTTTCGAAATTTTTGTCTCATTTCTAGTCTCACCTAAGCACTCTTTCCTTGAGTTCAGTTGATAAGTACATCGATGCTGACCTGCCCAACTCATCTGTACAGCCGGGACAATCTTACACTATCAGATTCACGATTACTCCAAATGATGTTTTGGCTGGTAGTACGCTTCCCATTAGGGCGACAATATCAGATGTAGCAACAGGACGTGTAGAGATTTGTGCACAATATCTTCATCAATATTCTGTAGTAAACACATACCTGCCGCGTATCCTGGTTCCGACACTACGATTAGCTTTGAAATTCCAAAATATGTACCCAATGACTTGTTTTAATTAGTCATAAATTTCTAATCAATGCCTTTTATAAATTTAAATTTGTAACGACTAAAATATTTCCTAAAAAAATTAGTTCTCAAATTGGCAAGCTTCGTAGCCTCGGAGGTGTAACTTATGTGTTACACCGTTCTGCAGCTGCTACTAATGAAACACATGAATAAATACCCAACTGAATTTTGCGTGGATTTTGGCAGTTAAAATTATTATTTACAGATACAATCGTAGCAATTTGTTCATTTGTATTTGTGTACATATATTTTAAATAAATTCGTTTTAATTCGTTTTACAATCCTGATAACCCATCCTCATACCTCTCTAAGTATGTCGGTAAATATGTATTTAATTTGCAAATCCACTCTTGCGATGAGGCATATTATCAGCGGAAGGACAGGGAATTTGTTGTGGTTTTACCCCACCCTGCTTGAACGTATCGTCTAACTCACCTTGAGAGTATTAACTGACGTCTATTGCGGATGGCTCTGCAATAGGTCCAAATGGTGACCTGCGCAGCTGGATGTCTACCCCAATGGGTAGGAATCCTCCTCACATAATACATACATTGCGGATGGCTTATCGCGGTGTATTTTTCCCTGAACGATTTTGAAAGGAATAGTCGAGTACACTACGGCCGACAAAAGGTGCCGTGTATTGTTTTGAAAGATTTATTTACACTGGCTCAAAATAAACTGATAAATACCCTAAATCGAGATTTGTGAAAGACAAAAATGATATGCTTGTGAGAGCTGAAGTTGGTGATTAGCATGCACATGATGTTTAAATATGAATTCGAAAAATTGGAATTTGTAATGTCGAATATTAATATTTTTAAAATCCTATATTCTACATATTTGTTTTTTTACAATTTTAATAAGATCTGTAAATATGATACAGTTTATTATAGTAAGTATTTAAACATTATTAGCTGAAGTAAATTATGTTAGTGTACAAGGGGGTTGCGAAATACGTTCCCAAGAAACGACAAGTTTTTCCTAAATCCCATCACTTACATATATAAGTAAAAAATAATGATAAAAATATACTTGCAATTTTTAGCTCGTATTTCGAAAATGCGATCTTAATTGGTAGCCAAGTTGCAACTACATATACATATGTATGTACTATAGTTGTCCTCCATTATATGTAAAGATATCTCTTTACCACTGAGCACTGGGTAGTTACATAATATCTGTCTTCCTAA